CATAGGGATAGATGGAATATACTTCATCATAAAAGCCATACACAAAAGACCACAACGAATATGCTCCTCAAGGGAAAAACCTGAGAGCTTTTTCCCCTAAGATCAGGAATATGACAAGGATGTCCACTCTCTCTGTTATTCAACATAGTACTAGAAGTCCAAGCCTCAGCAGTCAGACAGCAAAAAGAAATAAAAGGCATTCAAATCGGCAAAGAAGTCAAATTCTCACTCTTCACAGATGACATGATACTCTGTGTGGAAAACCCAAAGGATTTCAGCAAATAATTGCTAGAACTGATTCAGGAAAATTCAGCAAGGTGGCAGGATATCAAATCAATGCACAGAAGTCTGTTGCACTCTCATGGACTAACAATGAAGCAGCAGAAAGAGAGATCAAGGAATCAATCCTATTCTCAATTGTACCAAAAACCGTAAGATACCCAGGAATAAACCTAACCAAAGAGTTTGTAAGAGATATGTACTCTGAAAACTACAGAACATTTATGAAAAAAATTGAGGAAGACACAATGAAATGAAAAAACATTCTATGCTTGTGGATTAGAAGAACAAATACCATTAAAATGTCTATACTATCCAAAGCAATCTACACATTCAATGCAATCCCTATAAAAATACCACCAGCATTTTTCACAGAGCTGAACAAACAATCCTACAATTTGTGTGGAACCAGAAAAGACCCCAAATAGCCAAAAGAATGTTGAAAAAGAAAACCAAAGCTGGAAGCATCACAATTCCGGACTTCAAGCTCTACTACAAAGCTGTAATCATCAAGCCTGTATAGCACTGGCACAAAAACCAGACACATAAATCAATGGAACAGAATGGAGTACCCAGAAATGGACCCTCAACTCTATGGTCAACTAATCTTCAACAAAGCAGGAAAGAATATACAACGGAAAAAAGTCTCCTCAACAAATGATGTTGGGAAAACTGGGCAGCCACATGCAGAAGAAAGAAACTGGACCACTCACGCCATACACAAAAATAAATTCAAAATGAATGAAAGACCTAAACATGAGACAGGAATTGATCAAAATCCCAGCCATTTTGACCCCAGCTGCAGCAGCATCTTGCTAGACACATCTTCAGAGGCAAGGGAAACAAAAGCAAAAATGGACTATCTTCGGACTTCATCAAGATAAAAGACTTTGCAAGGCAAGGAAACAGTCAACAAAACTAAAAGGCAACCTACAGAATGGAAGAAGATAATCACGAATGACATTATCAGATAAAGGACTAGTATTCAAAATCTATAAAGAACTTATCAAACTCAACACCCAAAAAAGAAAAAATCCAGACATGAAATTGGCAGGAGACATGAACAGACACTTCTCCGAAGACATACAAAAGGCGCCTGGGTGGCTCAGTCCGTTAGCATCTGCCTTCGGCTCAGGTCACAATCCCAGGGTCCTGGGATCGAGCCCCGCATCCAGCTCCTAGCTCAGCAAGGAGTCTGCTTCTCCGTTTCTCCACTCTCCTCCCTGTTCACGCTCTCTCTCCCTCCCTCAAATACATAAAATCTTAAAAAAAAAAAAAATGGCTAAGAGACACACGAACAAATGCTCAGTATCACTCAGCATCAGAGAAATACAAATCAAAACCACAATGATATCACCTCACACCAGTAAGAATGGTTAAAATTAACAACTCTGGAAACAACAGATGTTGGCGAAGGAGGATGAGTGGAATGGGGAACCCTCTTACAACTGCTGGTGGGAATGCAAACTGGTGCAGCCGCTCCGGAAAACAGTATTAAGGTTCATAAAAAGGTGAAAATAGGGCAGCCGGGTGGCTCAGCGGTTTAGTGCTGCCTACAGCCCAGGGCGTGATCCTGGAGTCCCAGGATCGAGTCCCACGTTAGACTCCCTGCATGGAGCCTGCTTCTCCCTCTGCCTGTGTCTCTGCTTCTCTCTCTCTCTCTGTGTGTGTCTCTCATGAATAAATAAATACAATCTCAAAAAAAAAAAAAAAAGGTGAAACTAGAGCTACCCTACGACCTAGCAATTGCACTGATATTTATCCAAAGGATACAAAAACAGGGGCACATGCAACCCAGTATTTATAGCAGCAATTTCCCCAATAGTCAAAATATGGAAAGATCCCGGATGTCCATTGACAGATGAATGGATCAAGATATGGTTATATTTACAATAAAATGTTAGCCATCAAAAAGAATGAAATCTTGCCATTTGCAATGATGTGAATGAAACTAGAGGGTATTATGCTAAGTGAAATAAGTCAGTCAAAGAAAGATAAATACCATACGATTTCACTCCTATTTAAGAAACATGAACATGGGGGGAAGGGAAGGAAAAAATAAGATAAAAAAGAGAGGGAGGGAGTTTTTCCATTATAGGAAAAACTTGGGGTTATTGGAGGGGAGGTCAGTGAGGGGCATTAAGGAGGCACTTGATGTAATAAGCAGGGTCTTTTTTTTTTTAATTTAAATTCAATTTGCCAACATATACTACAACGCCCAACACCCTCCTCACTGCCTGTCACCCAGTTACCCCATTCCCCCACCCACCCACCTTCCCTTCTGCAACCCTGTGTTTGTTTTCCAGAGTTAGGAGTCTCTCATTGTTTGTCTCCCTCTGTAATTTTCCCTACTCAGTTCCCTTCCTTTCCCTTATAATCCCTTTCACTATTTCTTATATTCCACATGTAAGTGAGACCATATGATGATTGTCCTTCTCCGATTGACTTATTTCACTCAGCATAATACCCTCCAAGTCCATCCATGTCAAAGCAAATGGTGGGTGTTCATGTCTTCTGATGGCTGAGTGATATTCCACTGTGTATATAGACCACAGCTTCTTTATCCATTCATCTTTCGATGGACACCGAGGCTCCTTCCAGTTTGGCTACTGTGGACATTGGTGCTGTGAACACTGGGGTGCAGGGGTCCCAGTGTTTCACTTCATCTGTATCTTTGGGGTAAATACCTAGCCCAGTAGTTCAATTGCTGGGTCATAGGGTAGCTCTAAGCACTGGGTGTCATGTGCAACTGATGAATCACTAAATTCTACCCCTGAAACTAATACTATACTATATGTTAATTAAATTGAATTTAAATTAAAAAAGTAAAAAGTATATGGAGCTCAGATATGATAAGTAGAACCGCTGGATCGAATACACATTGATGTATAAAGATTTGAGTTTAGTGTTTCAGACTGAACATTTACGGTTAAGATACTACTATCCTAACTGCTTGAAATTTAATTTAAAAACATTTATTTCTGGTGAAATTAATTCCAACAAAAACTTGTATTAAATACACATATACCAAGAAACAATAAACTAATTTGACTTAAAAATGAAGCAAGCAACCAATGGGAAAATTAAGTGGAAGAGAACTGTGTCCAATTAGCCATATTTTAACATCTCTGAAATTGAGATGTATCTTATATGGCATGGATCACATCACATAATAGTAGTGTTTGGTTATGTGGAAACATTCCATTGATATTTTGTGGTAAGATCAAGCATCAAGGCATCTCAGAGTCAACAAAACATGCTACCATACAAACTTAATTACAAAACCAGTGTTGTTGTTGTTGTTGAAGACCCACAAACAGAACACTAAATCTACTGAAAATCTCCTCTGCTGGAGAGAAGTTTTAAACAACAAAGATGATCCATCCTATTTTGCTTTACTCTTGTAAATTATTCTTTGTGGGCCTTTTGCAAATTAAACAAATATTTACTTTGGGCTATCATAAGATGGCCAAACACTAACCTAGCTATTCATCTTCCTCCCTTTCAAAACATTAATACACACACAAGAAAAAAAAAAAAAAGAAAAGAAAAGAAATAAACCTACAGAAGCAAACAAAGTTAAAAAAAGGAAAAGGATTTCAAATATAAAAGTAAAAGGTAAAGTGAAACATGTTGATGGATACAGCAATGGAAGAAAAAGTACCCAGAATAAAAAGCAGACATTCAGGAGAGGTATATTTCTTAACAGCCAGAATAGTGGAACTAAGCACAAAAACAAAAAACAAAATCAAGGGTCACTGTCTAGAGAGAGAACTACCTACCTGAGAGGAGGAAGGGCTGCTAATGTGAGGGTCGGCACTCCAGAACGCAGCTCTGCCTGGGCAGGCACAGTAGGAGCAGGTGAGGAGAGGAACCTAAAAGGCTAACCCCGCAACTCTGGACGAAGGCACACATGCTCAAGAGACCTCACCTTCAGCACACAGGGAGCTCCCCCTGGTCAGCCTTCCCTCTCCCGGGAGACACAACTCCGGAAAACAGACTAACTCGCTACCGGCAGGAGAAAAACCTGACTGCAGCTACCCAGAATTATCAAATCAAACCTTCAATCTTAAATACAGAAGTACCATAAAGATGTATAATGAGAACCCAAAGCATGAAGGAAAAAGACCAAGCGTAGGGAGGGAAAAAGAAAACTGGCCCAGAGAAAATAATTCAGAAGCCAGAAGGAACTTCAAAAACAAACTTATTATTGCTGTGAAATGGTAACCAGAAAACATAGCAAGCACTCAAATTAAAATGATCAACATCAAAACAAATAAAAAGCTGTAAACAAATTTATGTGTTTGTATAGTGTGTGAGAACACAGAAGTAGAAAATGGAGACAAAAGTACACTGAACACACAGGGCTATATTTTTCACCCATGATCAACAAATTGTTGCTGCTAAAGATCATCTTACTGACTCGGGCTTACTGCCCCAAGTCAGGGATAGCTGGTTTCTGTTATAAACATAAAGCAGGTACCTGAGCAGATCATCCTCTTTTATAAAGGTGTTTGAGTTAATTTAACTAAAACAGACACTTTTTTACACAATTATAAATCTTTTTCCAGTGACATATCTTTAGAAATTACACAGTTCCTTTTATGGTATGAGATAAACCTGTTATTAAAACACCCAGCAGAAAAAAAATCTCCTTCTGTAAGGTAATTTTTACAATTATTTTCCTTAAAGTTACATGTGCTTCAAAATATTGAACTTACCCATCCAATGGCTTCAAACATTTTCAGATCAAGTGGATCACCAGAAAGCACTCCTTCAATCTTTGTGAGTGAATGACAAGTAGCCATACAAGCAACAAACTGAGACTTTACCAGTACCTCGTTGCAAACATTTTCTTCTGGCAAAAGAAAACTAAATAGAAAATGCACTGAATTAGATTCATAAATCCCAAGGCAATAAATATTTCAACCACACTCCAGTTTCATAAATATTAAGAAATAGAAATAAAATGTTATCATTTCTGCATATATTATTTTCACTATAGTTTTTAGCATTCAAAAATATTTCCCTCTATGTAAATTATACATAACTAAAATACTATATTATCTAAGATTGTGAATAAGTATGCCAGACAAACCAATATAGAAAATACTAGATACCAAATTAAAACTTCTGCCTGAGGGCATATGATAAATAAGAATACATAAAATCCCTTTTGTAAAAACACAAAATGAACGTGTAACACGTAATGTTTTAAATGTGAAACGGAGCTCATAAACAAGAAAAGGAAATTTTCAAGTGCCAGAAATGGAAGAAGAAAACCAGGAGCGTGAACCTGCATGATGCTGACTGCCGAAGGAAAAGGAAGAAGGGAAGGGAACCATCTCAGTACCCTTAGGCCCTAGGCTTTAATCCCCTCACAGGAACAGAACACAGAGATCTGGCCAGATACTAAGTAGGGAGTTCAAACTGAAAGGATCTCTTTCACCCAAGACAGCCAGTGCTCTTGAAGAGCATCCTTGGAAAAGGAATATACTAAATAAAAGAATGGAGCATCTCAGAAAAAGAACATACTAAAAATAATTTACCTGCAGATCCAAAGGCAAACTACCCTCCCCCAAAGTTCTGAAAAAGTTAATATCTATATCATATTTACAATGCACTAGGCACAGTTCTAGTAACTTTACACGTATGTGACTCATGTCCTCTTTACACCATAGAAGAGGTTTTATTATCCCCATTTTATAGATAAGGAAACGGAAACAGAGAGTGAGAAGTAAGTTGCCACGGTTACACAGAGCATTAAGTGACAGAGCAAGGATTCAAACACAGGAGGTCTGGCTTTAGGGCCTGAACTCTGAACCACTATACCACTCAGGATAGGATCTGGGTTTGAATATGTGCTACTGCAAGTCCAGAAATCCTCAGGTTATGAAAGTAACATTGAAGCTCATGTGGCACCACTACCACCACTCTCGGCCAAGCACAAACTCTCCAGAGAGGAGTTCCCACAGCACAGCCACAAAGAAATCTTACAGAAAGATCCTGCTAAGCCTAAGTCCATAATTTAAACATGCACTGGAAAACATTCCCATGACTCAACAGACACAACAAGACAGAATTAGAATCCCATAAATTTGAGATAATAGAATGGCAATCTGGAAGAATGCAAAAAAAGGCACTTTTAAATTAAAGACTTAGACAAAGAACAAGACACCACGGGGGGAGAGGAGGAGATGTGACTTGGAAAGAACCAAAGGCAGTTTCTTGTCTAACCGATGGTCAGGATTCCCAGATGAAGAAAACAGAGTGTGGAAAAGATCATAACAGAGTAGGGAAAAAAGCTCCCATTTTTCCAGAATTTATGAAAAGCATGCATCTTTGGAATCAAGAAGCAAATGAGTCCTGCACAAGTAAAAAGAAACTGCAGAAATCAAGGATAAGGGAGTATTCTTAAAACAACAATAAGGAAAGGAGTCAGGAGAAATGTAATCACACCGTCAAAGCACTGAGAACAGCTGACACCCTGGACAGATATGCAACTACACTGTCCTTCAAAAGTGACAGCAAAATGGAAGAATCACTAACAAATGTAGCTGCAGAAGAGGGCAGTGCAGTCCAGGGGTGTGGGGCAGAAGCAGCAGTGGTTAGCAAAGATAGTCCTAAACCTAGGGAAATCTCAGCCTGCGGATGGTATAAAACCCAAGTCCTAATCCTAAAATATTGTGTAACAAATACATCTAAATAAGGGTGGGGAATAATCAAAAAAGTACTCTACAGTCCACGGGTTTCCTGGGGGTTTAGAAACCCAATAAAAACACCCATGAACTTTAGACTCTAAATATGATCACTAATAATTTAAGGACAAGCAGTAAAAGATTAAAATGCATAAATTCTGAGAAAATGTGTGAAAATATGGAAGAGAAATTGAGAAAATGTGTGTGTGTACTGGAGTGAAGAATGGCAGAAATAATTTCCAATATAACTGAAATTACAAATGTGAGCACAACGGCACAGAAAGATTAAAAAGTAAAGCGATGGAAAAGACTACACTACACACTCGGCAAACATTAGACCAAAGAAAGCTGCGATGTGTAACTATAAAATATAAGATGAAACGGAACTGAAGGCAGGATGCATTAGGAGGAAGACATAAGATCACAATGTGACATTCTATTGGCTAAGATATAACAACTCTGAAATCACATGAACCACACAATATTCTCTCCAACTGTAAACCCTAAATCCCACAGACTTCTGAAAGGAAAAAAAAAATGACACAAACACAACTACTAAGCCATTAAAAGATAACAAAAACATAAAGACGAGACACACCGTTGGAATATTTTTGCAATGCATAGTAGTGAAAAAGATTACCACCTGAACAAAATAAAAACTACGAATACAACCAAAAATTGTGTCAGTATATAAACTGACAATATACAGAAGAATGTTAAATAACAATCCTTCCTAAAATGTGAAAGTAAGATCAGCTTACCAAGTAACGAGGGAACTGCAAGAGCCACAATGAAAGACCGTTTTGAATCTATCCATGTGGCAAAAATGAGAAGTCTGACAATCACTTACAGGGCGGTATCACTTAGTAACTAGGCAGTCCCTACTAAACCTGTAGCCATGCAGGTGCTATATAACCCAGCACCGACATCTTTAAGTAGCTAGTTTACTGAAACCCAATCACATGCTCACAAGATGTGTATAACAATTGGAAGGGGACATGAAGGAAAAAATAAAACTGCTCCCTAGAATATATATTATGGTTTAATCCCATCATGGAATACTACACAATACTTAAGATTATGAAAGCAGCAAAAACACATGTACAATATATCAGTCACATGTTTATTTACAGATAGGTCTTGTTTACAGACAGATGTAGAAAAAATATAAAAACATACAAAGATAATAGAACACAACTTCAGAATGATGGTAGGAACAGATTAAGACTTTAGCACTATCTGCGATATTTAAATCTCTTAAACGAGACCTGAAACAATTATGGCAAAAGGTCAACGGCTTAATCTTGGTGTTGGGTACACAGCTGTCATATTACTTTCTATATGTTTTAATGTTTCATATATTAAGACATCTAAGAAGTAATAAATATCAAATCTAGCTAATATTTACCGTGTATTTTCCACTCGTTGAATCCCCCAAAGATCTAAACCATCTTCAGTAAGAGTTCCAGTCTTTAAAAAAAAAAAGCACACATGTACAAAGTATGAATAATGCCTCCAAAAAACAGAAATCACAAAAAGTTATGCTACATATACATAATAAAATAGGATACAGCTGTCAACAAAGGAAACTAGTAAGATCTCTGTATATTGATAAGGAATAACTTCCAGGAAATAATTAAAGTTAGGGAAAGGGTGCAAAACATTTCTTCCATTATGGTTCCTCTACAGGCAGGAGGAACATACTTATAGAACCATATGTTTATGTGTTTGTATTATGAAAAAAAACAGTCGAGCAATACACCAATTAACCTATCAATCAATAAAGGCCTACCTAGGAAGGAGACAGCAGGACAGAAGGAGCCAAAAAGAGAAGAGTAAAAAGTTAAATGATATCAGGAGGAAGCAAATGGCTAAATCCAGGATGCAAATGACCTGGTTTCTTCAATAAGATGATTCGGGACAAAGGGCAAAAAAAGCAACTGCTATCGTCAATTTGTAACCAATGCAATCGTTATTTGGTTTCTGACAGAAAAAACAAATTGCAAAATTTGAGACACTTTTTGTGAAATACATGGAAATCTGAATATGAACTGGGTATTAGATAATACTAAAGAATTGTTAATTTTGTTAAGTGGAGTAAGATAATGGTATTGCAGTAATCTTCTAGAGATAAAACAGAGGTACATGGAGTGAAAGCATGTCTGACGCTGCCGCCTTCAAAATGAAGGAAGCAGTTAAAGTAAGACTGACAAAATGCCTACGTCTTAAAGCTGAGTGAGGACTTTTCATACTTGTATCTTTTCTCCACTTTTGTGACTGCTGAAAAGTTTTAATAGTGGTATCTCCCCAAAAGGCATAAGCGAAATTTTCTAAACAGAGAAGTATGAAATGTAGTCATGGGATATAATTATTTTTTTAAAGTAATCTGTACACCCAACATGGGGCTTGAACTCAAACCCCAAGATCGAGAGTCGCACACTCTACCAACTAAGCCAGCTACAGACCCCAGGACAGGACCAAAAAAAAAAACCTCACGTTTTTTTCCCTCAATAATGAAAATGCAAAAAAATCACATATCTATCATATTGGTTACCAAGTAGAGCTTGATGGGAGGTTTTCTGGCCAATGTTTAATTCTCAAAATAAAACTTTTAAGAAAACTAATTCCAGGAGAAGGAAGGAAAACCCTTTGTTTAAGAAGCAAGGAACATTGCACACAGGTACATCATTTGTCATCAGTGACCTTCATAATTTGAATCATATTCAATAAAATCATACAACAAACTTTCAACTAAGCGGATATACCAATAAAATTCCAGTAAATACATCTGTATGGCGCTTACTCTGTTAAAAACATGAAAGATCAAATAAGTCTTTACTACTACTCTAAGGCATAATTCTGGATGTGAATGATTAGACAATTGCAGATTTGAGCAAATAAGCAATATCTAAGCATTAAAAACTGAAAAAGCAGTGAGAAGAAATATACAAAAATGATGCATGTGCCAAGAAAGTTGAAAAAAGGAGTATTAGAGGAACATTAAATAATGTGTGCAAATTGGCTGATAGAGAACACATTCAGAAAACCTCAATCTAAATATTTAAAAGCTACAGAAGTAACCTTTGAGAATGATTATGAAACTGAACCAACCTTGTCAAAGCAAACAAGATTCAGCTGTCCACAGATATTTATCCTTTGGGGACTAATACAGAAAATACCAATTTTTTTCAATCTTCTTTGGGCATACACAATACCAGCAGTCATCGCAGCAGGAAGTGCAGGAGGCACAGTAATGGTAATGATATCCAGAGATTCAATAATTATTACCCCAATTTCTACCTACAATTAACAGAAAAATAAATGTCAGATCCCTCCCCCTATCAAATGTTTAATAATACAATGTGGGTATTTCTCCAATGAAGAATCCATAAACTGTTTTCAATTTTATAAGTGTGTATATAGTTATATCCATCAACCATTTACAATTCTTTTCCCTTCAGAAAACAGTAAGTTCAGTGAGTTGTCAATGGACTGTGGAATGAAAACTATTTTTAAAGGAAATTTTCGGGACACCTGAGTGGCTCAGCGGTTGAGCATCTGCCTTTGGCTCAGGGCCTGAATCCGGATCGTGGGATCGAGTCCCACATCAGGCTCCTTGCATGGAGGCTGCTTCTCCCTCTGCCTGTGTCTCTGTGTCTCTTTTTCTATCTTTCATGAATAAATAAATATTTAAAAATAAGTAAATAATAAAGGAAATTTTCTTTTGAAGAGCTCTACATGTGTCACAGGCTACACACTTCAAAGTTCAATAAACGTCTGCAGATACTCTTATTAGTACAAGCACCATATTATGCCCATCTCTAAAGGGGACAGAAAAGAAATCTGACAAGGTCTCTTAGAAGAATCTTCGAGTAAGTAATCACAAATAACTGTATATTCCAGAAGTTAAGAGAAAATAAAGTTTTTGGTGAGTATGTAGTTGCCCCTCCCTTTTTTAGGTCACAGAGAGCAAGAAAAAGACCACCTAGCCCAGAGCTGTCCCAAAGAACTTTCTGCTATGATGAAAATGTTCTATATTTGTACATTATAAAATAAGTCTCATATAGCTAATTTAAGTTAGATCAAAAGTTTAGCTCTTCATTCTCATTAGCCACATTTCAAATCCTCAGAAGCCACATGCCATCATTAAGACTCAACCCTTATTAAAAGTTCCATTTACATACCTTATTTAAAATGCTATTGATAATAGTGTAGATAAACCCAATGCCAGCCACTGCCACAAGACACAGTAGAAACAAGTAGGCATCTCTGTAGAGTTTAAAATCAGTTGGTTTGGGATATAGTATAGAGCGAACAAGCTGTCCTTTGGAAGTGCTAAATCCTTTTAAAAATTTAAAGAAGAAAATGACTGTATTTTTGTAAGAAAATGAGAATTATCCCAAAAACAGAATTGTTTTTCAAACATTCAGTATACATCAAATATGCTAACCATGCAAGAAGAAATGAAATGTTTTATACCTGTTCTAACTACTACAGCCTTGACAAGTTCTCCAGTGTAGAAACGAGTTTGAATTACAGTAGTCCCACAAAACAAAGTGTGTCGTTTATGTATTTCTGGACTATAGAATTCATCTCCCATTCCTTTTATGTCCACTGAAGGATTTGGCAAATTAGTCTTTGTCACTGGAACACTCTCACCTTTAAAATTAAAAAAATCATAAATTAAAGCACAGAAATCATTATCAAACACACAAATCTTGAATTGTTAAATAACCTAGATGTTATCATACTGTTTCAACAGTTCCTAAGAGTTCTCATATGTGGATAACAAAGCTTATTCAATTAGCTTTCTTTCTACCAATTTCCTTGCCCAAACACATTGTCTTGTCTCCCATACTAATTCCTGGAAGTGAGCTGTGAGTTAAAGTAATAATCTGGAAATCATTTTGTCCAGTTTCCGATAAAAATATCAAGTAGTTGCTACAGCCCCAACATCTGTTCACTTGTCCCCAAAAACTGAACTGAAAAGAAAAGCACTCTGCAACCTCAAGCACACAAAGATGTGAGGACCTACTCCTAACCTCCACCATACATACATACACACACAGAAGACAAAAGCCATCTAGGAAAGAGAGTAAATACAGAATATGGTAGTTCTCTCAAACAACAACAAACTGCCAAATTCTTTTCAATATTAAGCATTCACATCTCGTTTCAAAGATAACAAGTATGTGAGAATATTTGTGTGACTGTTTTAAGACAAAACTCCTAGCAGTTTGAAAACATATGGCAATCACTTCCTTCCAGATTAACTCTGACAAAAAATAAAGAAAATGTGATAAAAAGATATCAAGTTCTACCTTCAGATTAGGAATTTCCAAAAGGAAGTCATTTCATAGTCTACTTCCCCCCAGTTTAAGCAAAATAAAAAATCTTTATTCCCACTTTTTACACATCAAATAGGGAAGTAAATATGCTGCCATCCTCTGTAGGCAAAGAATTTATTTCCTCTTCCCTGACTAAAATACTCCCTTCATAGCAAAAGTAGTATGCCAAAAGATACAGTGGACACCAGCATAATGATTTAGTATCACAACTGAGTATAATGAGAAACTTGGTCCCTTCAAAAAGAAAAAAAAAAGTATCTTCGTTATCCATGACATTCTGAGAATACAAATAATACAGTTTTATAGTTATAGATACAAGACAGTTTTTTAAATTAGTTTAATCAGTAACTACTTAATCCTAATATCATAAACAACTGATCTGATTGTTACTCATTTAGTTTACCTGTTAACATGCTTTCATTTACAATGCAAGTACCATTAATAAGAACCGCATCACAAGGCATGACTGTCCCGTTCAATGGAATGACCATAACATCTCCTGGCACAAGGTCTGTAGAAAAGATCTCTTCTATTTCTGGATTTAAAGAAAGAAAAAGAGAAGTCTGTATATCCCTTAACTTGAAATAAAAATACAGTAAATAAAAGATCTGCAGTAAATAAAAGGTCACCTCACCTCAATACTAAGTTAAATATATAATGTAGTTAAACAGGACAATCTCAATACATGAAAGTAAGACAAAAAAAGATTATTATGGCTTAGGCTAACAACGCATAGTGTTTAAGTATGTCAGGTAGTTTGTCTCCTGATAGGACGCCAGCTACACACACACAAGTGATGCCAAGTCCCCTCTGACCAAGCAGCCTCTTAGAAAAACAGACAGTGAGTCCACACAGGATATTCCCTGCAACAGTTAAATAAGCTCAAATTTCTCCAACTCCTTGGAAACAGTAGAAAGCATTGAAAATTTTAGTGTACTTTCTTTTTTTTAAATTTTATTTATTTATTTGAGATAGAGAGCATGTGGACATGGGCAAGGAGGGGGCAGAGGGAGGAGAAGCAGGCTCCCCACTTAGCAGGGAGCCCCAAGCAGGGTTCGATCCCAGGACCCCAAGATCATGACCTGAGCTAGTGGCAAATGCTTAACCAACCGAGCCACCCAGGTGCCCCAGTGCACTTTTTTTAACAGCAATTTTTTACACTATTCTTTTTCTCACTGCCACTATTTACGACTCCTAACATTTCAATGCCTTCAACATTCCTAAAATAGTCCTAATATTTTACATCTATTTTAAATAAATTTACAAAATAAATTAAACATTTATCTAGATCATTATTTCCTTAGAAATTTGTACATTTAAAAACAGAAACTTGTGCATTACATTCAGTTTAGCTAAACACTTTTAGATCTTTCTAAAAAGATCTAAAGATCTTTTAAAAGATCTTTCCAAGTAAAAGGAGGTTTTTGTTAAGACTGCCTTACATTTAGACTCTGAATTCCTTCCCTCCCTGAGGTTTTATTACTATGCTCAGAAAAGAGATCTGAAAAAAAAAAAAAAAGAAAAGAGATCTGCTAGTTTGTAAACAAAGACAAGTAAAGAGAAAACTATTGTTTGTGATGTTAGTCTGTAAGACAAAACTCTTCCTTCCCTAAGCTATGAGGAAACAACTTCTAAAGAATTGTAGTGATATTAAGCACATAGTCGGCATAATAATTTTCATTTTTAAATAAACTCGACTCTTTCAAAGCTTTAATGCCACTTGAAAGTCTCCTCCTCTCAGGTATACCAAGAAACAAAATACCAATGACTTGGCAGCCTTTACAAAGGAGGTAAGGAAGACACACATTAGATGCAATGTCCTAGCATCCCCAGTGTCTTCTGCAGAGCAGGAAGTGGATGAGCACCAAAGGAGAAGATAGATACTCCCCACTAAAGCTGCAAGTGACCAGGAAGCACAAGGAAGGAATCACCTGCCAGGCCAAACAGTGTTTATGCTCAGATGTAGTGTACTGAGCGGAGGGACTGGAGGCTGATTTGGTATTCTCAATTAATCAAAACAGCTACTATAGCTACTACCTCCAAGGCCCATGCTGCTGTGCCGTCTCTTTATGTCCTTTACACTTCCTTCAATACTGCACCAGATGAACTAACATATCTAAAATGTTATCCTTTCCTACAGTACTGCTTCTCCTCCAGTGTTCCTAATTTAATTAAATGGCACCCATGTCCATCCCTCAGAGCCTGACACTGCTCTAACACCTCGCATCCGATGAATTGCTAAATCCTGTCCGATGGCCACATTTAAGTATCTTTCAGCCCAATCCTGTTTCTCTCCATCTCCACAACCCTCATATCTTGATCCATTTCAGGTCTTCAACATTATTCTCCTCTAAACCCATCTAAAGGGACACCTGGGTGGCTCAGTGGTTGAGTGCCTTCAGCTCAGGGCATGATTCCAGGGTCACAGGATTGAGTTCCACCCACATTGGACTCCCTGCATGGAGCTTGCTTCTCCCTCTGCCTGTGTCTCTGTCTATATCTGTCTGTCTCTGTCTCTGTCTCTGTCTCTTTCTCTCTCTCTCTCTCTCTCTCTCTGTGTCTCTCATGAATAAATAAAATCTTTTTTTTAAGTTGATTTAATTAAAAAAGTTGATCTAAACACACAGCAAGAATGATTTTTGCAAAAAGGCAAACATCAGATTACTAGCCTGCTTAAAAACCCTTTAATGGCTTTCCATTGCCTTTTGGAATGAGACCAAATTCCTTAATGTGCCTTAGATGGCCATCATCTAGTTGCTACACCTGCCACACTGAATTCCTTTCTCTTATTACAATGACTGAGCTACCTTTCATTTCCAGCAGACTGAGCACTTAGAACCCTCTCCTCTCCCTCTTTCACCCCTCCCCTTCACCGACCTCTTACCTAATTCAACCACTTAAAAATATTTTTCCCAATAGCCATCCCTGATACCTACAGTAAATGAGCTCTAATATCTAAATCTCCTGACCCCTCCATAGATAGCATTTGTCACACTTTCTTGTTGCTAGTTATCATCTGCCTTTCCAACTGGACTGAAGATCAGTGATGACAAGCACTGTGTCCATATTGGTAACCACTGCATCTCCAGAGCCTACCACAGTACTTGTCACATAGTAGAATAAGAAAAATACAATTTTACAGGAATGAATCTGAAACGTCAGAGGAGTACAAATCCAAATACTTATTTTTATTTCTTAAAAAATGAATGTACAAGGTGGCATCTGGTTGGCTCAAGTCAGTCAAGCATCTGACTTCGACTCAGAGTCCTGGGACAGAGCCCGGGTGCGGCTGCCAGCTCAGTGAGTTCATTTCCCTTTCCCTCTGCCCTTCCCCCAACTTGTGAACGTGTGCAAGTAAATATATGAAATCTTTTTTAAAAAAACGAATGTATATGTATAATACATTGGTCTTGCTTTAGTCATTAGTGCTTAATGGGTATCTTACTTGGTTTATTTTTCCAAGAGTTACCTTAAGTACTTACCTTCATTCACTCTGCAAACTGAAACTCTCACAGTACTGTGAGCTGCAACCATGTCATGCAACATAATATATTGCTGAAATTTAAAAAAAATGTAAAAACTACTTAATATAAGCCTATTCTTCAAGATATTAAAAAGCAAATGTGATATAAAATAAGGGAAGTTAATATGGCAAATGCATATTACTTTGCCGTTAAAAATGTCAAGACGAAAAGATTCAAAGATTATTCGAGGATTAGCACTTTAATGAAAGTCCTGAAAAGAGTGCAATAACTCTTCCAGTATTCCAGCTTGTGATAAGCATGTATAGATCCCTATGCCCTCTAACCAGTCCAGTGGTAGTCTAACTCTAAAAAGCACTTGCCTTCCCCATTCTCGAAAAAAGAGGGAAAGGAGTACATATTCATATAACAAAAAAATAACTATATTAAGTATTACTTTGTACCAAATACGATCATACACACCTTACATAATACTACAAAATACACAATGTGAAAGCTGTTAATAAATTGGACTTACCTTTCTAATGGAATAGAGAGAGCTTACAATTGACACTATAGACATAATCACAATGGCCAGAGCATAATAATAGTATTCATCAGTGCTCCATAGTATAACACTGAAGAGCTGGAAAATGTAAAATGGGTTGAGAACCTAAAAAACAAGATTTTTAAGTCAAAATGAATGAGGTCTTTATAACAATACAGATGTTCCATCTTTTCATTTAAGAAATAATTAACAAGATATTTGAGGATACCCTCTGTACTGTACTCTGATACCTAGGGCAACACGTACTACTGAAAGAGTAGGGCAAGATATTAGCATAGAACTTTTTTATAATCAACCTACTATAATTTGGTTAAAGAAGCTTAATTTAAATGATTTGCATCCATTTAGATCCATACCAAATCCAAATAGAGATTCAGCCAGAAATAGCTAAAATATGTCTATTTAACTATTCTTCATTCTACTTCAGCAATAAAAGTACATTTACTTCCAATAATTACTGGGATACTAAAGGATATAAAATCCTTAATTAAATGGAACAAATGTTTACTTATTATGAACTCCAAATACCAATTTTCCTTTAAGTCAAAGGTTCACTGGAATCTACAGGGAAGACAAATATTAGATAAGTTACACTGTTTTGCATTCTCTAAGGAAATAATTAAGAATTAAAACCTAAAGGAGATAAGGGAATCCTGGCAATGGACTTTGTTTTCATAGTATTCTATTTCATTAACAACTTCCCCCAAATGTCTTAAAGTGATGCTTGTATATTTTCAAAGCACTTTCTCATATTTAGTCCCATTTTATTCAAAATTAAATGAGATAATTTGAAAGGACTTACTCCAACTTATAAAAGAGCAGCAGAAAGATTTTCTAATGATCAAAGCTAGTTACTGATGGAATTATATTATAAACAAGGCTTTCTAATTCCTAATCACAACACTTTGATACGTTCTCAAGCAACATTATATGGTTACTCTCAGGAACTTAGGGAAAACATTCTGTAGCACTACTGTAAGTATTCACTCAACTCCTGATCTTTAGCCAAAAACCAAAAGGAAGACCAGAGAGCCTAACTCTGCCAGGCAAAATCCTTACTTCGTTCCTTAATATGTTTAACTTTTATTCACATCTCCTAAATGGCACCTGTAACTGGGCAGTGACTACAATAATCATTGACCCATTTCCTTCCCAGGATAAAGTACAATTCCTCAATGTCTATCATCAGGTCATGTTTTGTATTCCAAACTTACGGTATAATGTCTAGTTCCCAAAAAATACACCATAAAATACCACATGAAGAATAAATATGATAAACTGTTTAAAAATCAAAGAAAAAAAAAACAGGTGTATACATCTATAAAATAGGGCAAGATTTACATGTGCAACGTACTGAGTTAAAAAAAAAAAAATGTACAGGGCAGCCCCAGTGGCTCAGCTGTTTAGCGCCACCTGCAGCCCAGGGTGTGATCCTGGAGACCCTGGATCAAGTTCCACGTCAGGCTCCCTGCGTGAAGCCTGCTTCTCCCTCTGCCTGTGTCTCTGCCTCTCTCTCTCTCCTCTCTGTGTATTCTCATGAATAAATAAATAAAATCTTTAAAAAAAAATGTACAGATAAGAAAAGCAAAATAAGTAATTAATTAAAATGGTAATTTATGCCCCCAAATTATTTCTCTACCAGAGTTACTACTTTTACCTTCCAGGGTTTTTTTAAAGATTTTATTTATTTATTCATGAAAGACACAGAGAGAGAGAGAGAGGCAGAGACACAGGCAGAGGCTCCATGCGGGGAGCCCGACGTGGGGCTCGAACCCGAGACTCCAGGATCATACCCTGGGCTGAAGGCGGTGCTAAACTGCTGGGCCGCCCAGGGATCCCCTACCTTCCAGTTTAAAAAAAAAAAAAGAAAGAAAGAAAAGAAAAAAGAGTGAGGGAGAAACTAAGAAACAGAAAACCAAAAATATCTTATTACTTAAATCATGGCTCTTTTTTCTTTTTTTTAAAGCTTTATTTATTTATTCATGAAAGACACACAGAGAGAGAGGCAGAGACACAGGCAGAGGGAGAAGCAGGCCCCATGCAGGGAGCCCGACGTGGGATTCGATCCCGGGTCTCCAGGATCACGCCCTGGGCCAAAGGCAGGCGCTAAACCACTGAGCCACCCGCTAAACCGCTGAGCCACCTGGGCTGCCCCAATCGGGGCTCTTTTCAAATTGACAACTCTATTGATCACAAATGTTGTCTTACCTCCTTAATTAGAAGCTTACAAACAGAAGGCACTTTCACAGTAATTTCATTTACTCCATAAAGCAATTTTCTATAACAGGAAAACATAATAATAGTGTTACATTATATTATATTATAATAGTATAATATATGGATGGCATTTCATTAGATAAGGTTCAAACCACAGATTGCTCTTAAATCTGGAGCTTAAACATTCATGTTTCTACATACTTGTCTTCTACAATTTAATTTTCTACCTACACTATTTAAATCAAAGTAGTCAATACTGGAAAACTACACATTTCATTCTGCCTCCTATCTCCTTATGTGACAAGTTATCTTTCCCACTAATCTATAATAACCATGGCTGCAAACACTTTTTTTTCCATCCTTGAATATAGCAGACCTCAAAAATTTTGAATTGCAATTAATTTTTGCAAGAGACTAAATAAATATATTTGAGGGGTCCTGTACTATTTTTCAATACTGTACAATACTGTATTGAGAACGTTTTATTTCAAAAACAGTGTACATTTGACTTTTTAAAAAATGCTTTCAAAAAGTTGTTTAAATCCTTCCACTCAGACTCCTGGAAGTACTTTCTATACGACAGAGTAATGCGTAACTCTTGCCTTTTATGAAGTATAAGTCTGAATGAATTAATTTTTTATCTCCTAACCTGTTGAAAAAACATGCTATTAGAATAGAAGAAAACTGCTAATTTAATTTGAGGCATTTATACTCAAACTATGTAATACACTGGTATATTTTTATGCCACAGCAAATAATAACATGATTAAAAAGAATATGCACTCCAACTAACAATTATTCATTATGGTAAATTTTAAGTTCATGCTTACAATTCCCAATACATTTCAGAAAATCTAAGATCCTATCAATTATAAGCCATATCCATTATTTTATGTGCCATCAAGATAAAAATGCTCTCAAGTAAAGGATGACACACCACCCACTGTATGAAACATCTCCCCTTTAGAGATGTTAAAATGTGGAAAAATGTGCAACTTAGAATTGATGAAATATGGTATATTTTTAGGGACATCAACTTCAAAACTCCAGCGTCAACATTTCCGTAATTCTTAAACTCAAAGACAGTCTTACCCAAATAAAATCAGTAAGTTGTCAACTACTATGTCTATAATATTTAAATACCTGTTAATATGTACAACTATATGGTAAAAGGGTGAACTATATATACTACTTTATTTAGAAATTTTGATAATAGATCTAACTTTAGTTGGATAAAAATTACCTGTAGGCATGCATCCCCTTTGTCAGTCCTGCACTATGCTTTTCATAAATTGACGTACAAGAAACACCTTCATCCAGTCCCCTAAATAAATCCAAAGTTTTTACTTTAAACAAAGTTTAAAATATCCAAATGTCTTAATGCCTCATTTTTCTATATCCTGATTTTAAATTGTGACTTCCTCACAAACAGAAACCCTTAACAAAAACTGAGATAATGAATGAGAATTTTTAAATCTCAAACTCCTAAGATAAACAATAATGAAACTTCTAAGTCTCAAATGTGCCAAATTCTATATTATCCAATGTTATCTATCACATAAGATGGCTCTAAATGCTCAAGTTTATATAATATTATTATCCATTAAGGTTTTACCAAAACTGTAAGAGCTAATAAGTTAATAAAATTAAAGGTAAAGTATGACTAATATAGTTTTCCCCTTCTTCAATTTTTTAAGCTTCATGTTAGAAATCCTATTCATTGATTTGTCTTTCTATAAAACCAACAATCCAAATCTGTTCCTGTTCTATTACAAACCCAGAAGTACAGAATTTATATGGATCACAGGTATTCTCTAAAATCTAACAATTTTGAGTTGGATTCAACCAACAGATATACCTCTCCCCCAAAATGTCTTAATTATGCTTATTTTAACTGAGATACTGTAGTCACAAAACTCTGAAGATCTTACACATCATTTAACTCCAATCCTTTTCTACTTTTGTTCAGATAGAAAAACTAAGCTCCATAACTAACTGCCATCATTGGGATAAGTTTAAATTCTACAAGTTTCAATAGCTGGAAAATGCCACGAGGCAGGGGATCCCTGGGTGGCGCAGCGGTTTGGCGCCTGCCTTTGGCCCAGGGCGCGATCCTGGAGACCCGGGATCGAATCCCACGTCGGGCTCCCGGTGCATGGAGCCTGCTTCTCCCTCTGCCTATGTCTCTGCCTCTCTCTCTCTCTCTCTCTCTCTCTCTCTCTCTCTCTCTCTCTGTGACTATCATAAATAAATAAAAATTAAAAATAAATGCCACGAGGCAAATAAGGTTTGACTTTTTTTTTCCCACTGAAGTTGATGACTTCTCCAAAAGCAGCAGGATCAACTCCAAGTATTTTTTTTAAAAAAAACAAAATGGCAGCTCACTGGCCGTGTCCTACAAGGCAATAGTTCTTAACTAGGAATGGTCTTCAGAACTAGACATGTGGAAATGCCCAAGGCTATTCCAGAATATTCCAATTCTTTAGTGTCTGAGAAAAAAATCCACGCATGAATATTTTAAATGTTCATACGGTGATTCTCTTTGTATTGCTAATATTAAGAATTCCTTCAGCACTCAAGTAATAATAATACATCATAAGTTTTTATAATAATCACTTTAACAATAGCAATAAAAATAGAATCCTAATTAATCTAGTACTTATATAACTTGAGGCTTTCATAAAAAATAAATTTTAAGGGATTTCTCCAATTTGTCCTACTCAAAGCTTAACACTTTTAACAACATCTGAATCTTTATCCACAAGTTAAATTTCTGTTTATCTGTTACTCCATCCCTCAAGGACAAATAGATGGAACTGTCATCAATTTGGGAAATCAGAATTCAGATATTCTGACAGAATTCAGATATTCTGAAGTATACTCAAAATTCACCTTGAAATGAACCCACAAAAAGAACTCAGATTCAGTGGATGTGGAGAACCATACTGTCTAACATGAACTATTTCAAACTTTTATGTGATTTTGCCAAGGTACAGGTTAAAAGTAGGATTTATCCTAAAATGGTTAATAAGTACCAGGGACTTAATAAGTGAATAAAAGTTATGTAATAAATACCGCTTCAATTTTATGTTAACACTACAATGAATTCTTTATCTGGAACATTTTCAAGGTATTCATAATATAATCCAAACAAAAGAAAAATACTTACTTTAAAAAATCAAAATTGTGAAGGGTATCATTCCAGAAGTATTTTACACTGTGGTGGGTGAAATAACGGATCTGTGGGACACACACATAAATGTTACATCAAAAACCATCATCACCCCCACAAAAAAAAGAAAGAAAAAAAAGGCATCATCACTTATTAATGATCAAGTTTACCAACACAAATCTATTTACCCATTAAAGTGATCAAAAAAAAAATAAATAAAAAAATAAAGTTAAAGTGATCACATACAAATGCAGTCTTCTTCTTCTAATAGTACCTAAACTGTGTTATTTATAGTAATAAGAATTTTATATGTATATGAATTTATCCCCAAACAAAAATAAAGTTTCTTTGACACTAAAATCACAATACCTGGTGTGGTTGAGTCTGTGAATATTTACTTATCTCATGCCTATTTTCTTCAGCTAAATTTTCAGTTAGATGAACAGTGTGGCCATTTGAAACTTTACTGGCCATAGATTTTGGACTCAAAAATGGGCGAGTTTCCAGAGACAGAAAGCGAATTTTTGCACAAAACCACATTCTGAATTCATCCTTGTAAGAGAGAAAGGGATAAAAAATCAATTATGTATGTTACATTACTGCCTATATATATTTAATTCCCATTCTTTACATATTCTTGATTCCTAACTTCCTACTCACTAAATGTTAAACCACTTTTTAAACCACTTCTTAAAGATGTATAAATTTGTTATAAACATGAATATCATGAAGTGCTTTCCATTGCTCCCCATTTTATGACATACTTCACTAATATCCCAAGAAAGATGAGTGTAATTTCTTAATTTACCCCTCAATGTACTGAGACCAAAAATTAAAGCCTCTGATAAAATCCTTCCAATCAAGATTAAAAAAAAAAAAAAACCGGGGAAGCAGCAGCATCACATAGAAGGGCAGCTGGTCCAGTGAGCTGCCTGATACACCCCTTAAACTGGCTGGTGACTTTGACAGACAAGCATTTAATCTCTGGGTACATCAAGAATTTTAAAAGGAAGAGGTTGATACAATCATCTTTAAGAATCCTTTATATTCTAATCACTATGATAATACTTACTTAGAACACAAATGCTTTTAGGATTACTATTCCTAAATTATATCCTAGCAGTGCTATTCTCCTCATATATTATTTTGAAACAAGTACACAAAAGCATTATTTTACTCCTCGAATAATCAACTTCCAATAAATACATAGACTTACAGTAGTCCTCAGCAGCACCACTTCACAGTCTCTAACTGCAGCTCTAATACAGGTCGCCTTCACCCGCCATTCGGGCATCCAGTAGAGGAGGAGGAGGAGAAAGCCACCAGTGCAAACCACTCCTAGAGAAACTACAGCAAGCTTCCAGCGACACAAATTATAGCCATAAATTTCCTGCATGGACATGGTGATCATAAAATTAAATATCAAATGATAGCAGTGCAAAATGCCAAAGTTTGTTGTTTTCCCAATGAGTATTAACTGTCTTGTCATATAAAAGGTAGTTGTTTTTTTTTTTAAATAAACTTAATTTTGGAATGATTTTAGATTTGCAGAAAAGTTACAAAAACATTAATAAGAGTTCCTGTATACCCTTCCTCTGGTTTTACCCTTGGTAAACTTAGTACACTTGTCAACATCAAGAGATGTACCAATGTCGATTACTATTAACTACACCTAGTTTTTATCAGAATTTCACTAGTTTTTCCATTGTCTTATTTCTTTTTTTTAGAATTTTTTTTTAAGATTTTATTTATTTATTCATGAGAGACACACACAGAGCGAGAGAGAGACAGAGGCAGAGACACAGGCAGAGGGAGAAGCAGGCTCCATGCAGGGAGCCCGACGTGGGACTCGATCCCAGGTCTCCAGGATCATGCCCTGGGCTGAAGGCGGTGCTAAACCGCTGGGCCACCCGGGCTGCCCATCCACTGTCTTATTTCTGTGTCAGGACATAAACCATAATATCACACTGTATTTAGATGAAGTTAAGTTTTAAATTTATTTTTCTCCCAAACGATTAACTAAATGTCTCAATACCACCGTGACTGATCAAATTTGACCTCCCGAACCAAAATATTCCAGTTGTTTTTTAGCCCCTCCACTACCATAACCTAACAACAGTTGCCAAATTTAGCAAGTGAAAATGCAGGGGGCCTAGTTAAATTTTCAATAAAAAATTTAGCAAAATATTCTTGTTTAGCCTAGCAACATATGAGACATGTTTATACAAAAAAAATTATTCCTTGGAGCACCTGGGTGGCTCAGTAGTTGAGTATCTGCCTTTGGCTCAGGGCATGATCCCAGAGTCCTGGAATCAAGTCCCACATCAGGCTCCCCGCATGGAGCCTGCTTCTCTCTCTGCCTGTGTCTCTGCCTCTCTCTGTGTGTTCCTCATGAATAAATAAATCAACCTCATGAATAAATAAATCAAATCTTTAAAAAAAACTTATTCCTTGATTATCTGAAATTCACATTTAATGGGGTGTCTTCCATTTTCCCTAACAACCTTATCTCCCCGCTACTACAAAGAGCTTTAAAGCTGTTTTTTTCAAAAAAAAATAAAAAAAATAAAAAAAATAAAGTTGTTTTTTTATTAAGCTGATTTTTTTTAAGATTTTATTTATTTATTTGATAGAGAGCGAGCACACACAGGGGGAACAGCAGAGGGAGAAAGAGATGCAAGCACCCCTCTGAGCAGGGAGCCTGATGCAGGGCTTGATCCCGGGACCTTGGGATCATGACCTAAGCCAAAGGCAGATGCTTTACCGACTGTGTTACCCCAGCACCCCTAAACTTATTTTAAACCTCTTTTATAAATCAAAATTACAAATCTTACATTTGCGATTATATTTAAAGCATTAGCTAACTGCTTCAATTATCAAATAAAAAAGCATACTCCTCTAAGTATTACAGTTCACAAGTCAAACAGGAATTATACTAAAACCAGCAAATAGAAACATTACATAATCCCCATTCAAAAAAACACAGGGCGAGGAAAGCACATTGATTTAGTGTTTTGTTGTTGTTTTATATAGTTTTCTAGTTCCTTGGAATAATATTATAGAAATAATAATAAATTATTCATACTTGACAAATAAATTATAAAAACCAGTTACCATTTCATCTTCTTGGCCCTGGTTGATAGTCTTCCTTTCTTCTTTGTCCATATCTACAGTGGTTTGATAGGTCTTGTGCTTCAAAACAGATGAAGATAACTGAGAGGAAGAAGAACAAATATTAAGGAATTCTATTGTATCTCAAAAGACTATATAACTTTATAGTGTAAGACTTTGTCGTGATACGTGTATCAAAGTTCAACTGATACGTAAGTACTCCCTAAACTGCTAGCTGGTTCTGATGACATTTTCAATAGTGTGCTAGTTCTTATGATACAATCTATCACAAAACCTGGCATATTTCATCAATTAACTTACATTAGCGATAGTCTTCGTATAAAACAATTTAAGTTCTGTGAGAAACTACTACAGAATCTTCCCTTTTCATTCCCCAGACTCAGAGATCAAATTAGTTTAACCATTTTGAGCTAAAAGTGCTTCACATAACTCAAATTTATTGCTTGCTTGAACAGTGAAGGAGTACCAGCAGTGAAACCAACGCCAAAACCTCTCCATAATTATTAAATTAATCATTAAACAAATATTTACTGAGAACCTTTTACATGAATGGTAATCCTTGGCCAACAGTCAATTCCTAAAGAGGGGGTACCCCTATTAGAGATCACTCCCCCATTCTGATTCTAAGTGCACTAAGCAATCTTCTAATTGTCTGACTACCCATGATGTCTAGGAGAAAACTGAGCTGACAAATTTCCAGTATTAAAAAAGGATACGGACTTGAAATATTAGACATTCAGCCACACATTAAAGGGATTTGCAAAAAAAAAAAAAAAGCAAAAAAAATAAAAAATAAAGGGATTTGCAAAATATAAAACAATGTCTTAGATATTTTTCAGAAGAATATCATTAATCTGCAATAAGCTTATTACTGTTAGCGTTTATTAACACTGAGTTAATATGCTTAAAGACATATCAGTTCTAATTAATATAGTATCAACAGATATAACTCACATAAACAAAAGCTCTTTACAGTTCACAATAATTTTCAAGATTATAAAAATGTCTGAGACCAAACAGCCACTACTTTAGACTAGGATTATCTCCACAGAATACAGTGGGAAGATTACTTCTCTCATTCCAGATTCCATCCTCCTACTCATCTATCCAGTGTGTAGCAAAGGTCTGACACAATAGACACTCAAAAAGCATTTGTTGAATAAATGATGTAAGGAAGATTTTGTGCTAAGACAGCAATAGCTATTTAATGTTTACATGACATGAATTAATAATTAAGTAAAACCAACTGCAGAATTTTAAACAAATCTCATATATAAAAGTACTGAAATATCTTGATTTATATCATCAACAAAATGACCAATAAAAAATACTGATGCTTCCTGCACCAGTACTGAAAGATTTTGTACCTTCTGGTAAGCCCTATGGTTGGGGATCATGGCTGAGTGGGATTTCTACAGAAATAAAACACAAAGCATTGATTACATATACATGTCATACATATTGTGTATAAACTGTTACATATTACCTATGTTAATGTTATATGTAACATACACAATAATATGACATGTATATGTGATACATATTTTACACAGACACACACACACACACACACACACACACACACACAAGGAGTCAGTACCATCTTGAAAATGAAGTCTTAGAGATATCTGGTCCAACATCTCCAAAACACACATTATCATACCACCCTGTGAGCAATTTAACAAAAACTGCTTCTCACTCTACAGGTATGAAACATACTACCAAAGTCATTCTACCATGGTAAAACCAGTTCATCAAATCAAAAGGATTGAGGTGGCAGTTATTCACAAGCGCCATAACCTACTGCTATAAAACACTGGAAGAAGAGCAAGCCCAACCTCTTTCCCTGCAGAAAAGATCCGCTATTGTTAACTCAATGTGAAAGGCATAGCCCAATCCTGCAGGGAACCCAACAGTCACTCTCAATTGGGGAGATGAAGTTAGAAGTCTGGGGAGACATGGAAGTAGGCAAATTTGCAGGGCAGATTCTCACAGGGAAAGAACATGGAAAATATCCAAGATGGTCCCCTCAAGTCTTTAGCTGAGTACTGATCAGTGCACGTGTGTGAGGAAACTACTGAGGCCAGGGAAAGCACCATCCAAAAGGAATAAGAGGAAAAACTCATCGTGGCTCACACAGAGCTGAGAAGAGTACCTCTTCCTACCAACTTAGTTACAAGGAATCAGGAAGAGCATTTAGATGGGTGTTGCTTCAGTAGCAGGATCAAATTAGTCCTAAACTAAAAGCTACTCCAGGGATCCCTGGGTGGCTCAGCGGTTGAGCATCTGCCTTCAGCTCAGGTCATGATCCTGGGGTCCTGGGATCGAGTTCCACATCGGGCTGCTTGCAGGGAGCCTGCTTTCCCTCTGCCTCTGTCTCTGCCTCTCTCTCTCTCTCTCCCATGAACAAATCAATAAAATGGATGGATAGATAGATAGATAGATAGATAGATAGACAGACAGACAGTTAGATAGAGGGCAGCCCGGGTGGCTCAGCGGTTTAGCGCTGCCTTCAGCCCAGGGCATGGAGCCTACCCTGCTTCTCCCTCTGCCTGTATCTCTGTCTCTCTCTCTCTTTCTCTCTCGAATGAATGAATGAATGAATGAATGAATAAAATCTTTAGGGACGCTGGGGTGGCTCAGCCGTTGAGCATCTGCCTTTGGCTCAGGGCGTGATCCCGGAGTCCCAGGATCAAGTCCCACATCAGGTTCCCCTCCAGGTACCTGTTTCTCCCTCTGCCTATGTCTGTGTCTCTCATGAATAAATAAATAAAATATTTAAATAAATAAATAAATAAATAAATAAATAAATAAATAAATAAATAAATTCTTTAAAAAAAGATAGACGTATAGATAGATAAAAAATGCAAGCTACTCTGGTCCTACCTAACACAACTTAAGATGTGAAATAAACTGTTCCCAAATAACTTAAGAGCTTCACAAAATAAAGCTCAAGGCATTTACAGGAATACAAAATAGTCCCAATTTAGTAACAATACCTGACATCCAATTAAAACTTAACAGGTATGCAAAGAAAAAAAAGCCATATTTTTTATAAATTTATTTTTTATTGGTGTTCAATTTGCCAACATATAGAATAACACCCAGTGCTCATCCCATCAAGTGCCCACCTCAGTGCCCGTCACCCCCACCCCCCGCCCACCTCCCCTTCCACCACCCCTAGTTCGTTTCGCAGAGTTAGGAGTCAAAGAAAAGCCATAATGAGGAGAAATCAGGAGAAAAAGACCAAGAATGACACAAATAATAGAACTGATAGACAAGGACATTAAAATAGCCGTTGTAACTGTAGTCCATATAATCAAAAACAAGAGGAAAGACTGAAGAGATTAAGTACAGACATGAAAGATATAAAAAAGATCCCACTTGACTATAACATAAATAGTATCTAAGGTGAAGAATTTACTAGATGGGATTAGCAGCAGATTAAATACTGCAGAAGAAAAATCAATGAATTTGAAAACAAAGTAACAGAAATACCAAAATGAAAAATGAACAGAAAAAAAGACTAGAGGGAGAAAAAGCACATAACAACATCAGTAAGCTCTGAGACAACTGTAAACACCCTAATATATGTGTTAAGGTAGGAGGGACCAAAAATATGTGATGATATAATGGCCAAAATTTTTCCAAATTAGATGAAAAACTATAAGCCTACAGATCCAAAAAGTCCAACTAATACTAAGCAAATAAACACTGAAAAATTACACCAAGGCATGTCATTATCAAACTGCTCAAACTGAAAAGAATCTTAAAAGGAGCCAGAGGAAAAAGATGTGTTACATACAAATGAAAACAGGTAAGAATGACATCAGATTTCTTGCTAAAAATAATGCTGGTAAGAAAAGCTGAGCAACATCAAAAGTATCTTCCAAAATCAAAGGTGAAATACAAACTTTTCTAGACACAAAACCTGGAAAAAAACCATAATGAGCAAACCTACACCACTATCCAAAAAAGAAAGTTAAAGAAAGTCCTAAGTAGAAAAATGGAAATGGAAATATGGATCTCCATGAAGGAATGAAAAGCATCAGACATGGTATGTATATGCGTAAATATATATAACAATAGCACAAACAGGGGAAGAAATGGAAGTATAATCTTATAAGGTTCTTAATAGTATTATTTGCAGGTAAACTGTAATAAGTTAGAGATGGACACTATAAACTCTCAAGTAACCATTCAACTAACAGACTCACAACTAAAAAAAAATGGTGATTAAACATAACCATAAAAAATACTAAACTAAAAAAAAATACTGATATAGCAGGCAAAAAGGAAAAAAAAGGAGGAAAATAGAAACTAGAGATGAGACAATTAGAAAATAAATAGCAAGATGGCTGACTTAAACCCAACAATATCAATGATCACATTAAATATAAATGGCCTAAACAGTAATTAAAAGGCTGAGATTGTGCTTTTATTTTTAAAAAGCAAGGCTAGGGCAGCCTGGGTAGCTCAGCAGTTTAGCGCCACCGGTGGCCCAGGGCCTGATCCTGGAGACCTGGAGTCAAGTCCCACGTCAGGCTCCCTGCATGGAGCCTGCTTCTCCCTCTGCCTGTGTCTCTGCCTCTCTCCCTCTCTGTGTCTCTCATTAATAAAAAAATAAAATCTTTAAAAAATAAATAAAAAGCAAGGCTATCGAGACACCTAGGTGGCTCAGTTGGTTAAGTGTCTGACTCTTGATTTCAGCGGAGGTCCTAAGATCCAGCCCTGCTTTCGACTCCATGCTCAGTACAGACTCTGCTTTGGATTCTCTTTCTTCCCTCCCTTTCCCCCTTTTCCTGCTCTTTCTAAAATAATAAAATCTTAAAAAAAAAAAAAAAAGGAAGGCTACAGACAACTATATGTTGCCTATAAGAAATGTAACTTAAAATAAAGGCTCAGTAGGCTAAAGGTTAAAATGTATCATGCAGGGACGCCTGGGCCGCTCTGCCTTTGGCTCAGGTTGAGATCCTGGGGTCCTGGGATCGAGTCCTGCCTTGGGCTCCCCACAGGGAGCCTGCTTCTCCCTCTGCCTGTGTCTCTCCCTCTCTGTGTCTCTCATGAATAAAATAAATCTTAAAAAAAAATAAAAAATTTAAAAAGAATAAAATATATCGTGCAAGCACTATTCAAATTAAAGCTGGAATAACTGTATTAATATCAGACACAGATTTCAAAGCAAAGATTAGGGACACCTGGGTGGCTCAGCAGTTGAGCGTCTGCCTTCAGCTCATGCATCCAGGATCAAGTCCCTGATTGGGCTCCCTGAGGGAAGCCTGCTTCTCCCTCTACCTGTGTCTCTGCCTCTCCCTGTGCGTCTCTCATGCATAAACAAATAAATCATTTAAAAAAGCAAAGATTATTAGTAGGGATTTTAAAAAATAATATTACCAGGGATAAAGTCATTTTATAACAACAAACGGGTCAACTGATGAACATAAAATAATCCTAAACATGTATACATTTAACATACTTCAAAATACACAAAGGACAAAAATCTAAACAACACTATCAATCAAACCGGTCCCAATTGATATTTACAGAACACTGAACTGCAACAAAATACACATTCTTTTAACATGCGCACAGAACATTTACCAAGAAAGACCACATTCCAAAAAGTAAAAGATTCAAGTCATAGAAAGTAAGTTCTAAAAACAATGGAATTGAAGCAGAAACCAATGACAAAAAGATTTTAAAAATCCATGAGTCAGAAATCAATAGGGAAAGTACGAAGTACTCTGAACTGAATAAAAATGAAGATATATCAAAATTTGTGGGATGCAGCTAAAACAGTATTTAGGGGATCCCTGGGTGGCGCAGCGGTTTAGCACCTGTCTTTGGCCCAGGGCGCGATCCTGGAGACCCAGGATCAAATCCCATGTCGGGCTCCCGGTGCATGGAGCCTGCTTCTCCCTCTGCCTATGTCTCTGCCTCTCTCTCTCTCTCTCTGTGACTATCATAAATGAATTTAAAAAAAAAAAAAGGAAAAAAAATAAAACAGTATTTAGAAATTATTTATAGCACTAAATTTCCAAGAAATGCCTAAAATCATGACCTCAGCATACACCTTAAGGAAGTAGAAAAAGAGGGACACCTGGCTGGTTCAGCAGTTGAGGGTCTGCCTGCCTTTGGCTCAGGGCATGATCCTGGGGTCCTGGGATCAAACCCTATTGGGCTTCCTGCAGGGAGCCTGCTTCTCACTCTGCCTAGGTCTGTCTCTGCCTCTCTCTCTCATGAATAAATAAAATCTTAAAAAAAAAAAAAAAGAAAGAAAGAAAGTAGAAAAAGAATAGCAAATTACAGCCACTGTAAGCACCAAGGGGAAATTAATAAAATTCACAGTAGAAATCAATGAAATAATAAACAGTAAAAGGAGTAAAACTCAGTAAAACCAAAGGCTAGTTTTGGGGTTTTCTTTGTTGTTGTTATTGTTTTCTTTTGAGATCAACAAAACTAATAATCATTGCTAGTCAGTCTCAAAGAAAGGTGGGGGAGGCACAAATTACCAATATCAGGAATAAGAGAGGAGACATCACCAGATTCTGCAGACCTCTGAAATATAATCAAGGAACTTCAAAAATAAAATAAAATAATCAAGGAACTTAATGAACACTAAAGCAATACATCAACTTTTTGCACTTTTGTACTTATTTCCAAATAAAAATATTTTTAATTACAAAACCTCAATCTTTATCATAGGTCAGGGGATGGCCACAAGTTAGTAACTGCTACAGCTGAGTTAAAAGCTTAGTGTCATAGGTACATGAGTTCATTATACTAATCTTCCTATTGTTTTTTAGCATGTAGAAATTGTAATAGAAAGTGGTTTTAAATAAATAAAAGGCATACATCTGAAACTTTTAGATAGAAAAACATTTTCAGAAGATATTCACTCATTCCTGGCACCAAAGGCCATAAATCTTGAGAACTCTGCCTCTGTAAATCCCAAATCCACTGACCCAACTGATCATGTACCATGCATTACCCATACTCTCTTACTGCCGAGTTTTGACTCTCACTCTTCTTCACTTTTGTCTTTTACCCAGGGTCTGATCCCAGGTCCAGGGATCGAGTCCCGCATCAAGCTCCCTGCGTGGAGCCTGCTTCTCCTTCTATGTCTCTGCCTCTCTCTCTCTCTCTCTCTTGTGAATAAATAAATAAAATCTTTTAAAAAAATAATAAAAATTAAAAATCATCAGTTATGATTCTCTTTAAGCATCCTATATGACATAGGAAATTACAAAGACTATCACATAAACTTTAACATTTAATTTAAATGTATATTTAAATTTTAAAAACCTGTACAAAAACAGCCTCTAATTTTCTATGAATCCATAAAGATGAAAATCCATAAATATATTTTAAATTATACTGCCTGTCAAGATGAAAATACATATTAAACTATATCTAATTAGAACATTTGAAGCATTAATACCAAACTTCCAAAATCCGTTTAATTTTCAGAATATAACTATGGTAGCTTGGAGGAGTGCATGTTTTTTAATCAAGTCAATTTCTAGATTATAGAAAACAAATTAAAGAAATTTTTCTTACCAAAAGCACTATGTCATCACTCTTCCCAATTGCTGTATCAGCAGCACTTTCAAAAGCTGGCTATTAATACTAAAAACAAAACTAGGCAAAAAAATCCATTCAGATGAAAATTTTCTGCCAAATACTGTTTTGACTCTTTTTGAACTGCTTTCAAAATGATTAAGGTATTAAAATTTAGGATTTTTAAATTCACTGACTTTAAATGGGTTTTCAGAAGACATACATACCCTGGGGCACTGGTAAAGCTACTACTGAATAAATCACATCTAGTTCCAAATATACAGCCCATGCCTCAGCCTTGATGTTATCTAAATAGCAAAGAAGCTCATAGGCTACGTGCTTAACCAAACCCTTCCTTGCATTTACAATGAACTTGATTTTTTGTGTGAGTAAAAACAACAGCACAGGACAAAGTGAAGCTATCAGGAATAAATCCCACTAAGTCAGATGCAAATTCTTGAAAGCTTACTTATTTTTTTCCACATTATGAAATACAGTGTTCTAGGGTAAGAGTTGTACCTCATTTTCTAAAACAAGAGGAGCTGACTTCAACAGGCATAGAGATCCCCAAACCTCTAAGTCATTTTTCTTCAAACCTGAATTTCTTATTAGTTGGAACAATAGTTTTATAGTAAGTAGTATGTGTGAAGAGGGTTTTCTTTAAGGAGATTCCATGTACCTACCCAGAATTACAAATCAGGTAATTTTACAAGATGCTTTAGAGAGTGATCTAGAACTTGAGTGAAACTTCAAGTGAAGCAATTTTGAATAACACATTTTTAGTTTTTTACTTCAGTATTTGCCAAGTTCAGAGAGTTGGAAGTAAAAAATTAAAATTAAAACTCTGTTGGGATCCCTGGGTGGCTCAGCGGCTGAGCATCTGCCTTCAGCTCAGGGTGTGATCTCGGGATCTGGGATCGAATCCTACATCGAGCTCCTAATGGGGAGCCTGCTTCTCCCTCTGCCTTTATCTCTGCCTCTCTGTGTATCTCTCATGAATAAATAAATAAAACCTATTAAAAATTAAATCAAATTAAAAATCTGTTGGCTCAAAATTCACAAAACGAAGTTATTCCAAAAAAATTCTTAAAATAACATTTTTTATAAGTTTGTAACATATACTCTGCCGTTTTAAAAATTAAAATTGCATTAAGACTTTTGGGTCACTTTGCAGTGCTCGGACGGCACAGTTGGTTAAATGTCGACTCTTGGTTTCACTTCAAGTCCTGATCTCACGGTCATGGGATCAAGCCTCGAGTCCAGCTCCATGCTCAGTCTAGTGTACTTAAGACTCTCACACTCCCTCCCTCCCTCTCTCTCTGCCCCTCCCCCCTGCTCGCTCAGGTGTGCGCCCACTCTCGCTCTCTCTGAAATATATAAGTAAATCTTTAAAAAAGAAAAAGACTTTTGGGCCACCTTGCATTGTTGAAAGACAGAATGAATCATCTACTTTTCTCTGTAGTTCTAGATTTCTTTTTCTGAGATTTAAACATGCCTATCCATGTTAAATAAAAATTTGGCAAACCCATCTTTAAGAATCACTCACCAAAAGGTTTTTTAAAGATCCTAAAGTATAAACAGGTCAGCCAGCACTCTGAATATTATTTCATTGTCAAATCTGTAGCATCCACTGTAACTAAGATACCCTTCAGCAAGTCAAAAGCAGTTCTCCCTTTGAAATAAAAAGTACTCTAATACATATAAAATCCTTACTCATTGAACAGCCTCAATTTTTATAGCTATATAAATATTTGTGTAAAACAATTTTTTTAAAAACTCAATCTCCTAACTATAAAAACCAAATTGTCACAACTCTTTATGAGGGCAAAACTTAACACTTCAAGTCAGCTTCTAACAATAAGAATGACATAATATAATTTAATGAATACGTGGAAATTTTACAAGGATACCAGCTAAATTTTAACAAAGCTCTAGTGAATACCCATTTTATCACTTCCCATCTTGAACTTTCTCTTATAATACATGCTTTTGTTTCTGTGTTTAGGCTTAAGGAAGACCATTGTATCCAATATACACCAAACCAAGACTATTTACATTTGTAAAGTACAGTCTTTGTATAATTATGTTTTTTTATAGGTTACAAAACAATGTGATATCTAAAACAAAATAAGTTAAAACTAGGAAAAGTAATTTAATTATGTCTTAGGATCAATATTAGGAACATCAAGAGTTACAACTTAGCCCACACTATAGCATATTTACATACGTTTTTATTTTTATCACTTTTATTACAAACGCTATTTAACAAATCACTCCTTTTATTCAGAGAAAACTCCCTGTGATGAGAATGTCATCATCAGGCAAAATGTAACTTGGAGTATTAACCAACTACAAAGTATTTAATTAGTAAAAATGGGAAAAGTAGTTTTGGACTGACAACTGATATCTATGTTTTAACTTTTGCTTTGTAAAAATGGAAATGTGTAAAAATTCCTTTTTTTTTTTTTTTAAGATTTTATTTGTTCATGAAAGACACAGAGAAAGAGGCAGACACAGGCAGAGAAAGAATCAGGCTTCCTGTGGGGCGCCCAATACAGGACTTGATCCCAGACTCTGGGATCATGCCCTGAGCCAAAAGGGCATGTTCACATAAAAGTTCTTTTATGGACAACATAATAGTTTGTATTTTTAAAATGTCTACTTACATGAATGAGAGATTTCCATTTATTCAAGCTACTTTGTTCTTAAAACTTTTTTTTTTGTTCTTAAAACTTTTAAACTTCCCCTTAAATCTTTCTCATGTAACTTTTCAAAACTCCATATTCAAGGACTGAGAGTTATAAAAATATTATAATTACTAAACTGATTTTAAATTCTTACCATCAATTATGAAAAATGCTGCAGCAGGTAATAGGAAATAGTAGATAGGATGGCTGTAATAAGACAAGTCCTACAGCCTGAATAATCAAAACAGGCAGAATCAAAAAGGCCTAGAAAGAAAACTGGCTTCTACCCCTAAGATAATAAAAAACTTAAAAAAATGGAGACAGTGGCTACTAGTGGTGACAGGGTGCTGCAGAGTCAGAGTAAAGAAGAGATTTTAGTGCTTTTTGAATAGTTGTACCGTCTACATGTAACAGTATTTTTAAATAGTTAATGAAAGAAGGAAGGCTAAGTGTATGTATAAGCTTCTAATTCTACAATGCATGGACAATCTTGGGTGGGAAACTTGTAGGAACCTGAAAAGCACTTCATGGCGATCAATCAAGCCATTCTCCAGATTCTCTGGATCTCTCTTAATTAGGTTAAGATAACGTAGTCATTTTGAAAGCCCTCTTAACAAGTACACTTCCAGTAAGCAACAGTTGATTATATTTATTTTTACATCCCCTCCACAGTTTGGCTCCACTGAAGTAAAGCAGTAGCCAGTGACACAACATAAAATAGCAGCAAATACTAAGACATTTAATCAGATTAATCCATCTAAAAAAAATTAATCCATCTGCAAGCATTAAGTAAGCATATATGCCATGTTAATTACTATATTAAGGAACTGTAGGAGATAAACTTTACCCTAAAATACAAAAAAAAAAAGAAAGAAAAAGATCACAGAACTCAAGAAAAAGCTTTAACTTGTTCTTAAATGACAATTAACTCAACATGAACTATTTTGCAAGTTCCTTCACCTGTTGGTTTCAATTGGTTTCAATTTCTTCTCCCCTGAAACCCGGCAATTGTAATAGTCCACAGGATTCATTCCGACCATAAGTTTTAACCCTTATCAGTATTGCCTCTATATCCATCTTGCTGTTGCACTTTTTCACCACTAGGTGATGTTCCAACATTGGTAAGGAAAAGGGCTAACAGTTTTCAGGAACTGTAATAGAAAAGCGGCTGATCAAAAGAGATGATGAGAAGTTTGAAGATTTTTTTTTCCAGTATGACTGGAGATACTAATCTGGGAAAGCAGGAGTTGGCTGTATAATACAGCCTATGTTTCATGTGTCTCAATAGAAAAATAAGACACAATAAACACAAACAAATGATAAATGGGGGTGGAGGGGAGAGAAGGCAGGTGTATTATTATTGCCTTTACAAAGATTACTCCCAAATTCACAATTGTCTGAAACTAGAATTTAGGGATCTTATATGTTGTGAAGCAAGGAAGGGGAAACGTAACAAAGTGCCCATGAACCTATTAGAGAATAAGATGAGGGTAAAGTATAAAATTATGTGGTAAAACACTACTTGCCCATTAAACTGGAAAAAAAAAAAAGATACACTGCTGTTAAGAGTGAATCTTGTGGGATCCCTGGGTGGCGCAGCGGTTTGGCACCTGCCTTTGGCCCAGGGCGCGATCCTGGAGACCCGGGATCGAATCCCACATCGGGCTCCCGGTGCCTGGAGCCTGCTTCTCCCTCTGCCTGTGTCTCTGCCTCTCTCTCTCTATCATAAGTAAATAAAAATTTAAAAAATTTAAAAAAAAAAAGAGTGAATCTTGTGACACCTGGGTGACTCAGTTGGTTAAGCATCTGACTCTGGTTTAGGGTCAGTTTATGATCTCAGAGTCATGAGAATGAACCCCACATCAAGGCTCTGTGCTGGGCTTGGAGCTTCCTTAAGATTCGATACTCTCTCTCTCTCTGTCTCTCTCTCCCTCTTGCGCCCCCCCACCACCAAAGGAGGAGGAAAAAGAAAAGAGTGAATCTGTACTACTTTTGGAAAACCGATAGTGTATTAGAATTTAATACTCCCACACTTTGATCCAACAATCTCAATCAGAAATCCATGTCACATGTACATATAAATACAGGTTACCATTAACTGTTTTCTTCAAATTCATGAAAGAGTGTATGAGTTTTGTGCTTTCGGGTAAGAGGGGTATATATAAGCAGAAAAACCTAACTGAAACAAGTTTTTAAAAGCAAGCACTAAAGAAAATGTTTGGCATTTAATACAGTTCTCTTTTTAGAGAACTCTAGATAGAGTCCCCAATATGGGACTCGATCCCAGGACCCTGAGATCACGCCCTGAGCCAAAGGCAGACATTCAACTGCTGAGCCACCTAGGCATCCCGACAAATCTAGAGTTCTAACAACAGCTTGTATAAAATACCAAATCGGAAATAAATAAATACATACATACATACCAAATCGGCAAGTGGGTTTAACTGCCCAAACTAAAATATACACTTTTAAATTTATTTTTTTTAAGATTTTATTTATTTATTCATGAAGACACAGAGAGATACAGAGACACAGGCAGAGGGAGAAACAGGCTCCCTGCGGGGAACCCGATGCGGGACTCGATCCCAGGACCCTGGTATCATGCCCTGAGCCAAAGGCAGACACTCCACCCAGGTGCCCCTACACTTTTCAATTTAGAAGATAAGGATTTTTGTTAAGTAATATATGACAGTGTAAATTAGTGATTTCTTCTAAAATGTAATGCTGTTAAATCCAGATCTCTAAAAGCTTGACATTTCAATCAGCAATTTAAAATAAAATTTAATT